TTGAACCCCGTATCCAAATCGTATCGAACCCTGTATCAGGACCGTATCCATGACATAGCTCGATAGCCCGAGGCTATCCTCAGATCGTATCCAAATCGTATTGAAACCCTATCTGGAAATTATCATGGGTGACCCCGGCTGAGGCCAACTAGAAACTCTTGGCGCTACTGGTAATGGTCGAGTTTAGGCTTTGGGGCAATATGCACGACTTTCAGACTGACAGTTTCCACAGAGGGGCCAGACGCCGGAGAAGAGGGCCATGTACATCTCCGTCCCCCTGCCTGCGCTTTTGAACCGGATGCTGTAGAGTTCGAGTATAATCGACCTAGAGATTTGTGCATCGTGGACGATTGCCGGCGCTAAACATGGAAATTCGCACATCCACTTGGAGAATGTACGGCAAGACGGTGGGGAACTCACCCAAATAAACCCCTGCGCCTGCTTTGTACCACTTGACTTCAGCTGTGTAGATATCCAGCGACCAGATCTGGCAAGTTTTCAGTTGGGCACGAGAACAAGAAGTAAGCTATCGTAAACTCCGCCGAAAAAACCTGCTGTACTGTGAAACTTGCCGAGGGACCAGGCACCAATGATTCAGGCCCAAGGCAAACAAGACAAGGGCCGTCGAGCCAGAGATCGGGATGCAGGTGAGGCGGAAGAGAAACATGAACTGCGACACGCAAACCCTGAGTGTGTCAGCAGCTATGGAAGGTGCTGACTTCTTGCCGTAATCATACAGTACGTCTTCGCACTGGCGGAACTCTGTGGATACATGCGATTCAGAGGTCCTCGAAAGCCCTGAAACAAAAACCTGCAAAACCAAGCCAAGAGTCATGGAATCGCTGTCGACCATGCCAGGGAGTGCAAGGCAGGAAACAAGGAGCATCGCGCAGGCAAAAGCCACATTCATGGCGCTCATGCTGAGGCAGTTGAATTTCAGTGCCACGAGGGTGGTGAACAGCACCATCTGCAGGTGAGAAGCGACGCCAGAATGCATGTCCGTACTACGAAAAACTTCAAGAAGAAACAGCTGTGTGAAGAAAAACCTGCTGACAGTAACACTACCGGTCGTTGGGCAGCAATGCTGAAGGATTAATTCATCTGGCGTGTGGTTCTGACTTTGCTCATGAATGCGAGCACTGTTGGGGTCTGATCAGCGTCGGCCCCCCTGTGCCCCCCAACCTGGCCCAATACCGGCAAATCGTCTGGGCAATGCTACGAAGTAGTAATAGTGATAGCGTCACCAATCGTAAGCGTGTGACCTTCGAAGAATTCGCCCAATGAAAGCTAAATCCCGGAAGGTCGGGCACCCTGATTCAAAACGTTGTTGGGTCCCACAAAGCAAAGATGAAGGGTCTCATTAAGGCCCGTCGAAGCAATATAGTCTTAGTTATTAACCCCCCCTGCCCGCTACTCAGACCCTTAAACTTATATGTAACATCAGGTGCCCAAAACCCCTCGGACGCGCCTCAAGCGTGAGGAGGATGATGTGGTAGTGTCTCCATACCAAAGGAAGCGCACCGAATTGGAAAGCACTTCTGGAGGAGACAGTCGTCCTCAGAGTTGAATGTTGGAAGGTCTGGTCTCAGAGTCACAGTTCCTGAGCTTAGGGTTTCAGGGCTCGTGGATGATAACGGGCGCCAGTGCTGAGGCTTCTGGGCCTGTGCTTCAGGGCGACAGAGTCTGCGGTGTCGTGAGTTGAATGTTTGGGCCATCTTTCCAAAGTGGGTTTTGCTGCGTTGTACTTCCGCAAACAATACCAGTCTGTGGCAAACTGATAACATGTAGGAGGATCACACCGACCCTGAAATTGAATCCCGCTTCAACCGCTGTGCTTCACAGTCAAGCTGCGACCACAGGTAGAACGACCCTATTAGGACGATGCCGGTCGCGCACGCATAGCTCGCGATCAGTTGCTGCGTTTCCTGGGCATGAGGCGGTGTGACTTGGAGGTTCAAGGTGCTTGTTACGTGAATTTCATCGCCGTTGCTTCTGCGCCGGCCCACTAAATTGAATGCCTCTGAAACCATACCAAACATTTACAGCGATTTTCATGCGTCACATTAAGAGTCAGGGCCAAAACGATTTCGCATCTTTCAGGAGCCACGGTACGCAGTGAGAAGGGCTTAGGAAATTCGGACTTCTGCCTTTCCTCCTAACTTCATCGAATGGGTCCCAGATTTGCAATCACAAGCGTGTTGATATGATCGTCAGCCCGTCAAAGTGTTTCATGTGGGATGGCCCTGGTGTGGGGGAGGATTTTCAGGCTGCTAGTCTGCTAGTCTAGTGGGAGCAAAGGAACGCAAAGCGCACTGGATATTCCGAAGCCTTATAAAACACCTGTCAGCACAAGAAACCCAGGAACCTTAAGACCTTCACTGTCTTGAGACAGCAAGGAAGCAATGCTACTTGGATGCTTGCTCTTCCAAGCCAGCAAAACTCTAAAATCCAAACTCACAACCTCCCATAGAAGTGAATTCCAACGAGTTGCCACTGCAAGTTTCCTGAGCATTGGATTCTGCTCGTCAGGGGCTTTCGCGGCACTGCCTGATGCGGCGACTGTGCTGGCTTCTTGCTGTCAGAAGCTCAACCAGTATTACTGCTTGAACTTTGCGCCCGTCTACAAGCATAGATTTTTTGTCTTGCCATGTACAGGGAACCCTTCATGACAACAAGCAATGGGGAGACCGACTCAAGACATTTCACACGCAAGCGATATCCCGGTAAGCAACACTCAAATCAAAACCGGAGCAAGCCACTAAGCAGCGTATGATCCGTATCCGACCCTACTCCTCATCGAATCGTGATTCGGCACTTTGAGATTCCGATTTCAATCCAGCCCCCCCTCCCCGGCCCACTTGACTTTAAACAGTAGGCCGTTGCCCTTTGCGGACCACTAATGTAGCGCAGGCGACATGGCTTGATCTGAAGTATGGTCCCTGAACCATACAGGCCCGACACTTTAAGCCAAGCAGCCCGCAAAGGTTTCCAAAGGCGCAAACTGCACACCCAGCAGAGTGGCCGTGCAATAACCCATTCGAGTCTGCGGGAAATGTTCTACTCTCATCCGCAGCCCAAAACACAAGCTCTCACATATTCGCACATTTACAGCCCTGCTGCACGAGGTCCCAGGGCTACGAGAGTAAAGAGTTCCATAGGGTCCCCGAAGTCTCTGCGTTCCAGTGGAGTTAGGGCCGTTGCAGTTCCCCACCACCGGAATCCGAGAATGGAAGGCTTCAGATCTGATCAAGTGTGAGAAAGGCTTTCCCAAGGGGCTTCTGCCATGCCTTAAAGTGAAGCCCCGTTTTGCCTTTCAGCCGCCGGCAGCAGATCTTCCGGCAAAAGTGGCAGCTCCCTTGGACCTCGGTGGAACTCGGATAAGAACCAGCAACAACACCTACTACTACGACTGCTTCGACGACGACGGCTACTACTACTGCTGGCTGCGGCTTTTGCAGCTTCTTGTTGCGGCTCTGCTGCTGCTGCTGCTGCTGCTGCTGCTGCTGCTGCTGCTGCTGCTGCTGCTACTCCTGTAGATACTTGCAGTTTGCTGGGAATTTAGAACAATTATTTGAGCTAGATTGCCAAGCAATCTTGCAATCTTGGTCTCACCGACGAGTTTACCTTTTAGGTCTCCGAAAGGTAAACTAGCCGGCGGGCACGTGGGGCAAGATGACCAGCATTGCTTGACAATCTTGCTCCCCCCCAGCTGACCAAGCTTGCAAAAATTACCAAGATGGTTCGCTAATTAATGGTTCCACATTTCGGCTCAACGTACTGTCGCTACTGTTACTGTTGCTAGTACTAGTACTAGTACTTGTACTAGTACTACTACTACGACTCCTACTTCCACTACCACGATCATCACCACCACCGACACCACCACCACCGCCACCACTGCCACTACCAGCATGACCGCACTACTACAGCATGCCACAAATTCAAAGCCGAATGCACTGGCAAGTTGCTAACTTTCGGAAGAACTCCAAGCTGTCGGTCGCGACCAGAACATAGTAGAATATCGGAATCTGCAAAACCTCGGGGAGATGAGCTTGTAAGCTCGAGGGGCTGACATGCAACTGTTAAGCGGATGGCTTGCTCGTTCGAGGGTTTCGGGGCGAGACAAGGAAAGTGTGGGACACGCCCTGCTGCTGCCAGCGTCTTCTAGACTTTGCATATCCCAAGACCTAAGGTTAGCCGAGGGAGTCGAAGCCACTGCTCGTGCTGCGAGGAGCCGCAAGGGCCAGCTGAACATTCATCGGAAGCGACTCCTTCCCAAAGAAGATCTCCGTCCCGACCTTAGAGTTTCCAATTCGACCCCATGTGCCCCCTCATACCCCTCCGAATCATGACGAAAGGCATAGAACTCTTCAGCCGTCGCCATCCGCTACCCAGTGGGCAGGGGCGGAGTCGGGTCGGATGGCGAGACAGCTGCTAACTTGGTGAACCTTCTGAACCAAAACGCAGCTAGGACAGCGGCTCGCAAGTTGAGAAGTGCCAACAAAATCGAGGGACCACATGTCAAACGCGTACGCAGCTGCAACAATCATCGGATACAAAAGGGCTGACCACTCATGGGCCCATGGGCCAAAGCCATCAGAGAGATGCATCGAAATAGCAGTGGTCTGAACCCTGGACCCTGAGCAGCCTTAGCACAATAAGCCCCTATTCACGGATATGATAGAACGTAATGTGGCATAACATAACGGCTATGATATAGGAGAATACAGTACAAGATGATCCAATATAGCTCATGGTGTGTTTATCAAAATATAACGCACTACACGTACACTATGATATAAAATATTACAGCGTAACATGACACAATAACATGAAGCATATTGTACTATAAAACAGTATAGTAACATGTACTCGAATACAATATAATGCAAAACAATATAAATATAGTTCAAGATAAAAAACTAACGAACAAATGAAGCAACAATATATAATATAACAAAATGTAATTAAATAGGATCTGAACTGATATACCATAATATCATAACCCAAAATATGATATAAGTTGGTGGTTTGTAGAATATAAATATATACTAGCTTCAATTTACCATAATATAACATAATATAACTGACCATAACACACTAAAATGAAGGAACATGTAGTAGAACTAGTATAATATCAGATAATTAATGGAATGTGATGCAATACAGCAAAATATACTACTTGATGAAGCAATGGGGACATATAAAACTATAAAACATGATCATCTAACACTAAACAATGTTAAAGGCTAACCATGGTGTGAGGTAATGTACTCTGACATCACTTTTACATACCCTGTATCAACTTACGTTATATTCGCTTCTGTTATGTTATGTTATGCTAAGTCATATTCCGTTCTGATTCCTTGTGTTATTTCACACACCTTAGTATAGTAGTACTCATTTTTGGTTGTGACATATTCTGCTATGGTATATGATGGTATGTTATATTGGTCTACTACATTATGTTTTTTGGCTCCCACTTGGCAACGTCAGCGCGCTGACACTGCATGGCAGGTCACATGTCCGACTCGAACTCTATAACCAAAATCGTTGGCCACAGAGATGAAACTACAAGGCAGTACTCAAGGCTCAAGCGAAATGCAGCTGCGTCTCAGAGCCGCCAACAGCTAAGTACAAGACAATGCAAAACGCCATGACTGCCGTGCACCCTGGCTAACGTCAAAAACATCCCTCCTCACACTGGTCCCCAGCTCACTGCATGGACACTCCACAACGAACACCGCGCAGGCTTGTGCAGCTCTGGAGCACAACCATCACGACATTCACAATAGCAGCAGTGCTGTCACATGGGCCCCCAACCAAAACAGCAATCATGCCAAGGTGGCAGCATATTGGCAACATATTGGCAACATCCAGTATGTAGCTCCATCAAATCCGCATTCAGCTACTGCAAGGCTCGAAGTTGGCATGGGCACACAGCATCGATATCTCTGTACGTGCCAGCGGTATATCTCACCAGTTGTCAAACAATATGCACTGACAGCACTCTCGGTGCCAGCAGTGTTGTTAGAAACCCAGCATCCACATTCTGCAGCACGCTGTAGGTGCGGTATTGTGGCAAACCCACAAGACACGGGGTACCAATACTGTCATCCAGCAAAGTCAGGTTCGGAAGCCATCCAATTTGTCACATAACAGCGCGTTGACGGCACTCTCGGTGCCAGCAGTGCTGCTACAACAGTTCGCAGTCGGATCGCACAAAGGTGGCAGGTCCACAACTTCCAGGAGTGCGCAGGAGGTTGTCTCAGGGAACTCAGCATTCGCCTTCTGCAGTGCGCTGTAGGTGCAGGTTTGTGGTAACCCCGCAATACGCTGGACACAAACACTGTCATCGGGCAGAGCCAGTTCGAAAAGCCATCCAGTCCCTGACATCTAAGGGAGCAACGCAGGACGTTCCACCCAGACCCGAGCTACAAGCTGCCAAAGCCGTCCAGCGAGGTATGCCAGTCCTTGTCGGCCCTGTTGCACCAAATGGGGTGATGCAGAGTGTGCCAGGCTCATCTCTTCATTGACGGCGGCGAGTATGCGGAAATCGTTCGATTGCTGCATACTAGCCGCCGCCATGGTGTTGTCAAGTAAGGTCCGGCACACATTCCGCTCGGTGCGAATCCATGGCTTCCGAGGGGCGCGGGGTCGTGGTTTCATTAGGGACAACCACAAGGCGATGAAACAACGAAACTAAAGCCCCAGTCCGGGTTCACGCGAGGAGAGTGGAACAGGTGCAAAAGCAGTGCAGGCAGTGCAGGCAAGGGAGCAGTCAAGGACAGTGCAAGTCAGTGCAAGGCAAGGGCAGGGGAACAGTGCAGGCAAGGGAAGTGCGAGACAGTACAGAGCAAGAGCAAGGAAACAGTGCTGGCAAGGATTTTTTTTGGGGGGTTAGGGTGACTTGAAGCGTGTGTTACACACGCTTCATGCAGCCAAGCGTCGAAGAACGTGCAGCCAAGTGGCACCCCATTGCAGCCAAGGGACAAAGAACAGGTCTGTGCATCCAAGCGGCGGAGTGGTGCAGCCAAGCCGCCTCCCATTGCAGCCAAGGGACAAAAACCAGGTCTGTGCATCCAAGCGGCGAGGTGGTGCAGCCAAGCCGCACTCAAGGGACACTTACAGTTTCGGTTACATGTCTACCGTGGTAACTACATCGTGTCCATCAGTTTTCTCACCGGTAGCTTGGAAAAACGCTTGTATTGACATCTGCTGCAACCTGGGTACTTCTGGTTCTAAGCCACCATGCAATGCCACAAAACAGTCAGCTTCAGTAGGCACGTTGAACCCTAGGGCGCTAAGGCGACCTTTAATGGGGCTTGTTAAAGTTGAGGCATGTATAACGGTGAAAGCAACCAGGATAAGGCGCTCCGACGCTCGTGCTGGGTCCTCCACGTGTCCTGCATGCAAAAGACGCCTGGCATCAAAGGTGTACGGTCGCCTCAGTGAGACGATTCTTCCCCACAGAGTCTCACCTTGGTGGACTTTGGGTGTATTCCCTAGTGCATCCTGCAGCCACAGGCCATCTTTGGCCCAGTCGGGCGTATCGAGGGCCTGTACCAGTGAGTGGATTGGGCCATTACGTGTGTCTCTATGCGGTGCACCTACCATGCCGTACCTCAGAACGTAGGTAGTGTACTTGTGTTGGGGTGCAACCCAGTGAATGTACCTGTTGACAAGTAGGTTGAAGAAGGGCATGTTCAGGGAGTGGGTGAGGGTAGAATCGCGACACCTTGGACTAGCGCCTCCTACAACATACCTACAGCCATTGGGACCTCTCTTGAGCTCAGAACCTGGCAGCATCCTAAGAAGTTTGATTATGTCAAGCTGACACGTTGGCCTGGTGCTTGCATGCAACAGGTGGAGGGCTGCATGTTCGACGGGTTGGAGTCGACGGTCCTGAGTTATTAAGCCAAGTGACTGGTCCTGGGGCCTCAAAACCGGTGTACTTGTATCAATCTCCGTGTCATCGTCAGAATCCACAACAATTGGGGAAAGATTAGACACAGTACGACCTAGGAGTGGGGCGGCAGTGGGTTGGGGCACAGGTCTACCCGGAGAGCACAGATCCAGGGGCTCCGTGGGGCTACGTTTGAGTGGAGGCGCAAAGGACATGACCCGGGCAGAGGAGCTTGACTACACCTAATGCATGAAAGGGGCTTCGAGCCTTGAAACTGGCGGTATGCGGTTCAGCATTTCACTGGAGGGGGCCTACATGGGGTGGTGGCTCATAGACCTGCGCTGCAGCTGCAAAAGCTTCCCTCGGACGGTCCTGTTTTTTGCAGACGTGGACTGCTAGTGACGTCCCTGGTCGAGAGCCCTCAATTCAGATGTACAAGAGGGACAGTGCAAAAGCAAGGCGACAGTGCGGCAAGGAAAGGCAGTGCAAGGAAGGCAGTCAGTACAGGGCAAGGACAGTGCAAGGACAGGCAGCCAGCGCAGCAAGTTGCATCAGTGCAGAGCTGAACAGAAACAGAAAATCATCACTCCTAAGTAGAAGGCCTGCACTGGGCTATGTTGCGTGCGATGCTGCAAAACTGCACTTCACAAGCCAAAATCTACCAGACACCATGGCCTTTGGATCTCTAGCTCTCGACGCCGTGGCCCTCCGCCTCCTCGCTGGTTGAGCGCCTGTGTCAGCGTGTCGAGGTTCGTGAGGAGCACAGGCGGGGAGCGCGGTGCCGAGCCTCCGTGGATCTGTGACACATGTCCTCCCAAGCCCACTTCCTCGACCAGCGGTGTGTACGTCGGCGCCGGCGGAGGTCCGCGGGCTCTGCTGTGGCTGCTCTGCTGGAAGCTAGGCGGCTGTTGCGGCGCTGGCGTTGGAGAGGGCCTGGGCTGCGTCTGCGCCACCACTCTGTCCAGGCTGGTCTGCACCTCGCTGAGGGCGCGCAATCTCATGCCCATGATCTCACTGTGCTTGTCCAAGGCCACACCCACCTCATTGACGTTGTCCAAGAGGCCTGTGATCAAGGACTCAATCTTTGTGACCTTACTCTGGAGCTCCTCCTCCTGCCCGGCGACCCAATGGAGCGTGTGGCTCGTGTCATCCGCCACCTTCTTGAGCTCCTGTTCCCACGGGCTGGGGTCGCCCTTGGCCAAGAGGTTCAGGGTCCTCTCGATCATGTCAGCGCCCCTTCTGATGACCGGGGTCACATTCTTGATCTCCGCCAAGATGGCCGATCTGTGCCCCAGCGCATCCTTGCCGAGCTCCTCGTTCTTGTCCTTGAGGCGCACGATGAGCGCGTGGTCCTCCCTGAGGTAGCCCGTGACATTGTCCACCTTGGTGACGAGGGCGGCATGCTTCTCATTGGCACTGGCCTGGGCTTCCGCATGCTTGTCGGTGGCCAGCTTTTGCACTTCCTGGAGCATGTCGGT